AAATTACTTTATTAAAAGATTTAATAACTTCACTATAAGTAATAATTGATAAAAGATCCTTTTTTTTCTTTATTTTATTTATTAGATATAATTTTTTTTAAAATTTCTTCATTAGATATCATTTTATCTGTAATTTTAAACTTATTATACTAAAAAATTTCTTTTCATTAAAAAAAAACAAATTTTAATTATTCTAATTGAATAATAATAAATCATTTTTTTTATAATAAATCATTCTAATTGAATAATAATAAATTATTTTTCTTGAATGATAACAAATCATTCAAATGAATTGAAATGATTTAAAAAATTGTCCAAGATCGATTCATTATTTAAATTTTGATCGATTGGTGCAATTTTTGTAAATTTAAATATAATTTTTCATAAATTTTTCAAAAGAATCATTTAAAGAATTATATCAAAAAATTTCATTCAAATCTGAATCTAAATTTGACAGATTAGATCTAAATTTGAATTCAAATCTAAACAGAATTCAATATAAACTTCTGGAATTTTTTCTGTAAATTTAAATTTAACTTAACAGATTAAATCAAATATGAATTTAGATCTAAATGATTAATCTAAATTTATATAAATCATTACTTTTAACTAATAGTAATATTATTACTAATAATCTTACTCTTTATGTTGCTGATAATAATAATAATAGTGATACTACTCTTTACTTTGCTATTGCTATTGCTACTAATGATAATTATAATGATGATAATAATAGTAATAAAGGAATTGCTTTTTTCAACTATTCTCTACAAATCCAAATTTTTATACATATTTCAGTAATAATTAATCTTTAGGTATGATTAATATTGATTGTAAAAATTGAGATGACATAATATCTTCAATATATTCTACAATTTTTTGATTAATTCTTCCAAACTTTTCATTATTACTAATAATGATTTTGATAATAATGATTGTGTTATTATTGTTGCTATAATTATTGGTGTTGCTATTAATTCTACAATTTTTCCTCTAAATCTTTAATTGTAAAATGGTTTTCAAATTCTTCAAAACTTCTAAGTTAACAATTCCATTAATATTATTTAATATTGGTGAAATAAAGATTTGCTTTACTTCTAAAACAATTATTTATCAACACTGATTTATAATTTTGAAATCTTTGTCAGATAAATTTTATATATTTTTTTGTATAAATAGATTACTACACAATCTTCTTGATTCTTTAATCAAGTTTTCAGATAAGGTATTCTAATTATAATTATAAAGACATTGATTATTAGTTAAATTTAATTTACCATTTGGTATTATATTATAAAAAATATTTTCAAAAAAAAATCTATTATATTTTTGAATAATAATGCTTAAATAATTTGGACTTCATATTATATTTTACCAAGGAAACATAGGATACAAAACTTATGTATTTTCCCATAAATAGATCATTTTAAAATAATAAACAAAATAAAAAAAAAAAATACATACATGAAAGTTTGATTAAGTGTTTCAGAGGTTCTTATTTACTTGTTCCTTCCTATTATTTCTTGGAATTACTGCTTGAGGTGCTTGGCTTAATCAACTCTTAATTTATTTGAATTTATTGAAAAAGAATTATCTTTAAGAAACTAGCTTCCTCCGTGATTCTTTCCATATGGTATTCATCCCTTTGTTCCGATGACAAAAAATATGAGCATAGGTTGATATACTGTATAATGTAATGTAAAAATTTTACATGGAATTTACCAGATCAATGCAAACGTCTTTACTAGAAAGTTCTTCAAGAATTCTATGAAAATATCGGTGAACAAATGTATCTTCATCCAGTTTCTTATCCTCATCGAAATTCACTGAAAACAGATGTGTAATAATAAATATCAACAACGTACTAAGATGTTCTCAATAATTTAGAACTGCACAATCGAAGATGGATTTATCCTCGTCTGTTGATAGTGTACTCCATTTGGCCCAATTCTCATGTCATTTTATGTCCAATAACTGTTTGTCGTTTAAAAGCTAATCACAAATTATAACAAATTAATAATTTGCCGATCATTAGTTAGAAAATTGATGAAAACTTACAATATTATTATTAAATGCATGACAGGTGGCAACGTCTTTGGAATAAATATTAGATATTAAAATAGATTTTATTTGCATAAAAAACACTTACAGTATCCGATCTATATCTTTTATATATGAAAGGTCGGGATTGGTCTCTAATAGGTTTATCGATGTTAATTGAAATTCACGGAATCAAGAGAAATGTTGTGACCCACTATATGTGAGAAAGGATTATTACTATTTATCAGGAAAAGACTATCAAAATGTTTCTCGATACTTACGTCATTCCTAGAGATATTGTTTGTATTTATGTTATTGATTGCACGTTTCCATGATAGAATGATCTTAAACTATATAATTAAGAATCGAATTAATTAATAAACGGAAGAAATTTCCATTTTTTTCTTTATTTAATAATTGATTTGCAACTTAAACCTGATTAACCTTATAGTTTCTTTGATTCCTCTCTTGCAATGAAAGGATTTTCATTGTCATCTTCACGCGTAACAGGCTCATGAACATTTAACTTAAAAACAAGCAGTATCGTAATGCAGGTTAGAAATGAACTTATTCACATCATACGACAAACAAAACAAAAAAAAATATTACTGGAGAGGCCTCAGTTGATGCAACTTCAACTTCGGCGTTATAATTGCCAAAAGAATTATCCACGCTTTTATAAGATGGAGTGAGAACGATCGCGAAGGCTGGGAGAAGGTGTAATAACAGGAGAAGCTTCTTCAGCTGGTCGTTTTTTGGGGTTTTCTATTTTTTCGGGATCTTTCAATACTGACTTTAATGGACAAAACAATCTTTAATTTTGAGCCATGAATCTTTGTTAAAGATACTCACAGGCACTTGTTTTTTCGTCTTTGAATTTTCTTTTGCTTCCTCTCGATGCTGAACTCGCCAGCTAGACTATCTGCTTCACTGGTTCGAGCGGAATCAAGCACCTTTAATGCATCTAATTTCGATTTTCTTCTTGACAGCGATCTGGGGAGATAACAGGATAACATAGACTACAATCAAAGATTGAATCAATAAACACCCCGCTCTTTTTCTTTATCCACGCGTCTCATCCTTACAAAAAAAAAACATGAAGTTAAATTTTGCGAGTAGAAAATTTTCGAAGATTTATAATGTCAATTAATTACAATTACGAACTAGGAACGGTACCATCACGCCGGGTAGGAACGGTACCCTCCAAGGCCATGCAACTCCTGTTCAGATAATACCTTCTGTAACAGTAAAGTCGCAACTCTAACTTGCTCATTGTCTCGTTTCTCAGAAATAATTCTTTTTAGAACATTACAGTATCGCTTTCGTAAAGCGGAGCTCCCAAAGGTGACACGTCTTGATCAATAGACATCCATACAGATTTTAACGTTTCTAAAAATCTCAAATATGAACAATCTGACGGAGCCCTAAAAGTAATCTTTTTTCTGAAAGTAGAACTACGAACAGGGTCATACACAGAATCATAATCCCTTGCTCTGAAAATCATAGTCTTCCAGCTTCTTCTCGTTATGTACTTCTTCGGTTATGTAGACAAGCCTTTGTTTATTCACAGGGATTCCTATTGAATAATGTTCTCAGAGGGAGTATCATTGAATACGAATCGCAGGCCTCATCTGAATTACCATCAATTTAAGTATAATACTGCCAAGAAGCAAATGTAAATGTGGCTTACTTATTTACCTAAATATGATTTCCTTAACACCAACATAACGAAAAAATCCTGTAATCGTGAAAGTATAGTACAGAGTAAATGGTGGAAGAAAACAGAAGTAATAACACGAATATCAGACCATCGCGAATTTAGCATACCGTATAGGATCCCCTATAATAGTATCTCCCTTAAATAATATCGGGATATTACTCAACTGTATTTTTGAAAAATACCCCGGTACTAATCAAAATCCGATATTGAAAAGTATTCGATATTCAAAGAGCCATTTCAAAAAGACTTTTTTTGACTTTTCTCTTATTGTTTTGTAACAATAAAATAATAATGTCAAAATTAACGAATCATAGCATTGTTACACAATCCAAGCCACTCGTTAATTAAAATAATTTGTTTCTTATTTATAGCAATTATTATATTCTCTGTCATATTCATCCTCTTCCTCTTCACATTCATCTTCTTCATCCTCTTCATACTCTTCTTCATTCTCTTCATCCTCTTCATAATCAAATATCTTCATTCTATTTATACTCATTATTCTCATTCTTTATCTAATAGCATTTTTACTTTATCATTTAATTTATTTACTTGTTAGAGATGATCATAATTAAAATCCAAGTCAGTTTCATTTCCTTTATGTTTATTTGTGATACCATAACATTTAAAAGATCACTTAATCAAATCAATATCAATTGCATTGTATGAATCTTTAACTTAATTTGCTATAATTTCATAAGAAGACCTTTTGAATTTACTTGTTAGTGTTTACACTTTTATGATTTCTACTATTCACTCATTATAGTTTTGACGTATCTATAGGAATGAAAATAATAAAATATTTAATAAATCCTTATAAATAGAATCATACTAAAAATAAGAAAAAGTAAAAGGAAATGTTAAAGATAATAGTGAAATAAATTGAAAAAAATGATGATGGTAATGGTAAAAAGAATTAAAGATAATAATGAAGAGAATCAAAGTAATAGTAAGGAAATTGAAGGTAATAGTAAAGGTAATAGTAAAGGAAATCAGAGATAATGATGAAAGAATCAAAGGTAATAGTAAAGGAAATTGAAGGGTAATATTGCAAAGTTTTTATAAATAAAGTAAATGTAAATTAAAGAGTAATTACTAATATTTTTATTTTCTTCAATCTTTTAATTAATTAATTACTTATTCTAATAATTACCTTTATTTTAAATAATTTATTTATTAAAATATCTAAGGACTGCAAGTGAGATATTTATTCTTTAGAAATAATTACAATATTAGTTTTTTTTATTAAAACATCTTTAACAGAATCAATAATTTATGCAAAAAATGAATTTAAAACCAAAATAATTATGAATTAAAAAATCTTTAATGTTTGATTTAAATGTTTTTGATCTAATAAAATATCTTATTTCATTCATCTATCCTATTAAATTTGCTTAAATAATAATTTTTAGAAAATTTTTCTTTTGAAATATTTTTAAATTTAAAAATTACAAGTAAAAAAAGTTTTATTCCATTTGTTATACAGGTTAAAACTACTATAAAGTTAGGTTTTCATATTTTGTTATGAATATTAACTGATTGTACTTTTAATTTATTAATAGTAAAATTGCTTGGCAGATCAAATAATATTGAAGTTTTATTCACATTATTAATTAATATTAAAGAATAATTATTTTATATATAGTCAGAACTCGATATAACGAACCTTTTGGTTTGATGATTTTGATTCGTTATAATGAGAATTTGGAATAACAAGTTTTTCTTGATATATCGATTTAAATAATAAAAAAAAATAAAAGTTCGTTATATCAAATTTTTGCAATAAATGTAATGTAGTTATTATTTGATTATTATTTATTTATTATTTGCATGTTGTATGCTATACTATTTCTTATTTGTATAATTT